CGTCATCTGCTCCTGCCGTGCGGTCACTGTCCTGGGCCCCGTCTTCCCATGTCCTCTCTGTCTGTTCCCGTGTGGGCCTCGCTCTCGAGGCTGACGAGACAGAGCCCGTGCGTGCGAGTGAGGCCGCTCCTGCGAAAGGTTGCTGAGCCCGGCTCTGGGCTGGGCAGGGAGAGGGCCCGCGGGGCCTGCCTGTTGTTCCCGCCTCTTGGGGGCCTGCCGGGAGAGGGGGGCTGCCGGTGGTCCCTCTCGGCAGCTTCTCTGTGGCACCCTGTGCCCCCTCCTGTGTGTGGCACCCGGACTTTTGCTTACGGCCGGCAGTGCCTGTGACTCGTCCGTGTCGATGAGGCGGCTTCTGACTGGCTGGTACCTGTGTGGTGAGGAAGAACGACTGTGAAACAGAGAGGCCACTGTCCCCGGGCCCCGGGCCCCTGGGAATCCTGCAGGAGGGACAGGGCGGGCCGGGCTGGCGGGAGTGGGTCTCCAACCCTTTTTAAAAGCCAAGCGGCTGCTTAGTCTATGGAGCGTTACCTTTCCGAAGGGCTTGCTTTATTGCAAGGGTTGACAGGTGCTGCTGTGGGGACCCCAGTTCCCGGGAGCCTTCACGGACACCCCTAAAAGGCTTGCGCCATGGGTGGGAGAGGCCTGCCAGCAGTCGGCTTTTCTGGATGCGTGTGAGGACCTGTTACGCCGCTCAGTCCATTAGAGGGGGGTGCTCCTCGTGAGAACGTGAGGTTCCTGATGACATTTCGGTCGGGCCTCGATGTCTCAGAAGTTTGCCCCCGACCCCCGCCCGTCCTCCCAGACGGAGGGTCCGAGCTGATGAGACGGCCTTCGAAGACAGGGGGTGCTGGTCGGTTTTCTGAGGCCTCCGTTTAGCAGCCGCTTCGACACAGGACAGGGAGCCCTTGCAGAGAAGGGAGTCAGACTTCATTCATCCGCATTCTCTGTCCAGCTGATTGCTGGCCACTCGGAGGCACGCGTGGATGCGGGCAGCCGGGCACACACTTTCCATGACAATGGAGAGAACAGCTGGGGGGGGTGGTGACAGCCGAGAGGGAGCCAGAGTGAGGGGGCGATGGGCAGGCAGCAGTCACCTCCCCAGCTCATCTGATCGCCCTGAATTTCAGGGTCGCAGGTCGTGTGGCAGGGCCAGTCCTGGGGCTCTGGGCTCTTCGTTGCTCTGCCCCGCTCCTGCCCCCCTCCAGGCCTCACCCATTTGCCCTTGGAGAAGAGCTATTTGTATCTCAGCGCCGCACGGTCTTGCCAGTTGGAGTATTTGGTTTCCAGACACGTCTGTGTGTTCGTATCGTGAGCACATTTGCAGTCCGAGGGGAAAGGGAGGCAGGAGGACGGAAACTTCCACGCTATCGAAAGGATTTGCACAAGGACTTCCGGGAAGGA